TTTTGCACTTCGGCACGACTGTACTCCCGCTGACGAGTTTGGGCTTACCCCTGGCGGCTTATGATAGGTGTGCACATGAGTATAGTGATGAGTAGGAGAGTAGTGTGTTATATCTTTTGACCATGTACTTGCATATGACTCTAGTATAGGATTCTTACCAATATATTATGCATAGTGGTGAGCACCTCGTTTATATTTGTGCTCATCCCCACCTGCTCTTCATTGATGCAGGATAAGCACGTGTTGGACATGACGAGACTGAAGACGAGTGGGTGGTCAAACATTATTAATGCTTTTTATTGCTTCCGCATGCTTTGATATTTATGTTCAGATTATCAGACTTTGTTATTCATCCCTATTGCTTTCGAGATTGGTTGAACTGTGGAACCATGTGGAATATTATTATCAGTTTGGATTATGTTGACAATCCTATTGCTAGATATGTTGGAATCTAGTCTTGGAACTTGAATTATGTTGAATATTCTCGTTTCCTTTATGCTGATTATGTGTTTAACTTTGGAAAGTTCTTAAGTAGCGCCAAATGTTTTATAAATCGATAAATGGTTTCGAAAGTTTAAAACAAGATTTTTGGATAAGTCCGGAATTTTCTTTAAAAATCTTTGGGGCGTTACAGTATGTGTGTAGTGTGTGTTTGTGTGTGTGCAGCGTGCGTGTGTGAGTGTGTGTTTTTGGTGTAAGAGTGAGAGAGAGAGTCTGTTAGTATGATTTGTGGTGGGGCCCATGGTGTATGTAAGATATCTGTTTTACCCCTCTGAGTATTCACATGTGTAAATTTAACCACATTATGTATATTAATTACCATATTGCCATTGACTAAAATTTGAGGATCTAATGATCCACATTCATTCTTATTTTTTTTCCCTAACCATCATTCTCATATGATCCTAACTTTATCTATATATATATATATATATATATATATATATATATATATATATACATATATATTGTTCTCTTGTTGTTATTATTCTTTTAAAATTGAGTCTAGATTCTCCTATTGATGGTTAAATATTATTGATGGTTAAGTATTATTGTGGATGCGTTGTGGTGTTTAAACACCCTTCTAAGATGTCTTCTAACCAGATTCAACTTCTGGGCGCTTTCTTGTAATAATCATGTGTTCTATTATTAACTTTTTATACTGTCGTTCCGGAAAAAATAAAAGAAAGAAACACATACGGAATTCATATTGCGGATTAACGTGGGAAGACCAATAATTAGACTGAACCTCAAAGTGCAATTTGTTTAATCAACCTAAAACAAAACATGTTTTGAAATTAAACATGGATGAGTATTCAACTACTTTTGCAATCTTCCGGTACATTTCTCCCACTTTTGGAGCTTTGGAACATGGATCTTTCTTGCATTGCGTTCCTTAAACCATATATACAAGTCCTCGTACAATAATCAATATTCCTGCTTATACTATTGCTGCAGATACATGTAGAAGATCCGGAGTGTTTTGCTTAGATGGAAGTAAATTAGATGCCTGGCTACTATCCATGCTCAAAGGACTCAAATTTTGCAGGTTCGTATAATTCAACACATCGGCAGGTTTCTTCGCCCCGTTTGCACCATCCATGGGCCCAGCACATCCAGGATTCTCCATCAGACTTCCCATTTGCTGATCAGTGGAGTATGCAGCCCCCGAGGACGAATTAGAGCCATGCTTCTTCTTGTTCTTGAACACGCCCCAGAAGAAATACTTACCATTGAACCCTGCAATGAAATGCAACCGTCAAGAAAAGTACAATCTTCAATGCAAAAAAAAATACCGTGAATACCAGCTGTAAAAATTTGTGGGTCAACTTACTCCTGTGTGGTAAAGGCAATTCATAAGATGAAAAGATCAAGAGCTCCACATTGCCAATTGTAGACTTCAGAGCAAGTTCCTTCTGAATGACGTCGTCCAGCAGACTATCATACATTCTTTCATCCCTTCAAGTACAAAAAGACCAATTGATTGGGAAAGTCAATCTTAAAAAAGATAGAACAGTTCCAGAGAGAATTGTTTTTTTTTTTTTTTTAAAAAAAAAAGAATCACCTCTCGTTTGCAGGAAAGAAAAACAGAGCAATGCTGGCGGCTGTGGGAGGTGTGACCCTGAAATTTTTGGGCCACACGGCAGATTTTTCGAGGATTTGGGTGTCGAGCGTGTACGGCATTGCACTTGTGGCATCAAAGACTTTTGAGCAGGCTCTGTCAGATGCATGAGCTAAGATTTCAACACAGCTCTCGTCTTCTTCTCCATCTTCTTTGAAGTTGAACCATCCCCTTGATGTTCCAAGAACCAAAATCCATACAGCACAAAAAAGTTATCACTTTAACCAAAGGAGTGAGCAGAAGGTTTACTGTCAAAAGACTCACATAGCATGTAAGGACACGTTTGGGGTGTCGTATGGGAACATGGATCAGGCAAATGGTGTAGTGAATTTGTTACGAGACTATGAGATCAGTGGCATTTTGTAACTGCCCTTACACAAAAATAGGCCATTATGTTAAACCACTTTTCAATTGGAAATTGGATCTTAGGGTAGGAATTTTTTTTTATTTTATTAGGAAGCTGCAAGTGCGACGCAAGGGATTATTAATATTTTTTCATGATTTAAAAGTTATATTATTATTGAATTTATGCTTAAAATTCAAATTTTTCCATTAGTTTAATAAAAGAGGCAACACATATATAATAAACTATATAAATGTATTTGAACTAAAACATAATCTTTCAAGGTATTAAATAAAAGCTTATTAAATAAAACTAAATAAGTAAATTTGTGTTAAAAATCCAAAAACGAAATCAATCAATTATTAATATTTTTTGATAATTAATGTTGTCTTCATCATTGTTTGAAATCTTTTCAAATCATGATCATCGTTGTGTTACTTTTATGGATGTAATTTTTTATATATTCCTGTTGTTTGTAGCTTAATTGTTAATACAATTTTAATCAACATAGTCTCTTATCTTTGAGTGAATGATTGATTTAAGCCAAAAATAATCATGCATTATACACAAACATAAAATTTTTATTTTAAAATATTTTGTTGAAGTAACAAATATATATTCTATTAATAGAATACTTGTTTAAAATTTCTAACTTATTAAGAAAAAGGATTCCAAATAATAATGTTTAAGTTCACCTTTAATAATACACATGATATGAATCTATTTTTATGCTAATATATATTGAATGTATCTTAATTCAAAGCAAATTAACATTGTTTGGATATTCTCTTGGTATATCTTTCTATTATTGATTATTGTGTTGTTACAGTGGGAGATTATTTTTTATTATTTTACTTAATCTTGGCACCGATAAAATATAAAACTTGAAATTTGGGTATGCTAGCAAGCTCAACCTTCCTTAAAAATTAATACTTCTTTTTTTCCATAGATGTAATGATATAAATATAAAATATTATTTGAACATATTAGTGAACAATAACATGATTATACTTAATATATACAACAAAATATAAACAACCAATGTGTTTATCGAACATTATTCAAATTTTGACTACTTTTTATATGGAAATTCAAGACTATTTTAAACAGTAAAAAAGAGTTCAATGAGTTATAAATTAATGGTTCTTTTATGTAATATTTTTATCATCACATTATAATGCGCATTGGTCCAAACAATAACTTTGGATCATATATGACCTCATTGGTGAGAGGGATGATGCACATGTAACACAAAGCCAAAATAATCATAAACAACATAATTATCAGCAATCTCCATTATTAGTCATACACCATTATTTTTCCTGCACGTGTGAAGTTAAAAAGATCAAAGGCCTTACCTCCATTTGGGGTCAAGAATGGGTTCTGCTGAGATGCTATCCTCAGGTATTAAAAATGGCTGGCCACTTAATACTTGTGATGATACAACTTGATCATTAGTCGCTGAGGAAGGTGCTTCAAAGGCAATGTTTTTGGCGTCATCTTTGGAGCTTTCACTGTCATTAAGAATCAAGATTCTTCTCTTTTTTTTAACTTGTTGAATTTTTCCAGGCTCGTCAAGTAAATTGGTGATGTCTTCCTCCTGAATTGGATAGGTACTTCTTGTGGACAATGAGGGTTCATTGATATCAGTCTGCCCTTTGAAACAGCTTGGGCTTTCAAATATTAATTTTTTCTCTTCCAAAAAATCTACCTCTCTTAGGTATTCCATATCCTTGACAGGAGGAAGGTGGTCAGTGGCTGGTTTGTCAGTTTCATTGGCTACATCTCTAAGATGAACCAGCCTTTCGTCTTCCTCCAACCTCTGTTTTTTGGTTTTTCGAACCTTTGGCCCTTTAGAACTAATTCGTTCGCTTTTCCTTGACGGCTCATTAATGCAATCTTTTGGAGCACAGTCCCAACACAACCAGCGTATATCATCATCACTGGGAGAAACGTTGTTCAAGCAATAGCTAGAAAAGTAAAACAACACACGTCTGTAAGTTAATTAAACCACTGTTAATTAGTCTAAGATGGATTTATAATCTTTACACTATATGCAATTTGAGCCTTGCATCTTAAAATCTAGTGCTTACAACAATCAGTGTTCTAAAAATCGCTAGGCGCCCGCTAGGCGCTCGACCAGCGCCTAGCGCCTAGAGCGCCTAGGCGGGGCCTAGGCGGTGCCTAGTCGGGGCCTAGAAATCAATATAAAATACCTTATTTTTTATTTAGTTTGACTACCTACAAAATAAAACTATCTCAACTTATAATAAATCGACACACCTAAGTCCAAATAATAAAATTAATATATTTTAAAGAAAACATGAGAATAAAATAATGTAATTAATATTTAAAAAATTTAAAAAAATTAAAAAAAAAAACTGAAAAATTGCCGCCGAGCCCGCCTAGGAGCGCCTAGGTCCGCCTATTCCCGCCTAGGCGCCGCCTAACCGCCTGGCCGCCGCGCCCGCCAAGGGCGCCTAGGAGCGCCTAGGGCCGCCTAGGCCCGCCTAGGCGCCGCCTAGCCGCCTCACCGATTTTTTCTGCCGATTTGTGCAAATCGGAGGCGCCCGGGCACCGCCTAGCGCCTAGGCGCCGCCTAGGCGGCCGCCTAGGCCGATTTTTAGAACAGTGACAACAATAAGAAAATGATGATGAAAATCAAATGAAATGTATCGCTGTACATAAGTACAGAATTTGAATAAAAACATCAACAATAGACAGTATTATCACACTGGCACAGAAGAAAGCATTTGAAAAATAAAACACACTACATGAATAACTTTATCTTCCATATTCTATCATGTAAGTTCACTCCTTCATTATTTTCTCTTTCTCTTTTTCCAGATTCTTGTAAAGAATACTTGGACTTGTTTTCAGAGGTTTTGGGATAAGTTTTTCCAGGAAAGTGGTTATGAGAGTGATTTGGAAATTGAATGTTATAATAAGAAAATTAATTAGAGAAAATAATTTTATATTTGGCTTTATAATGAAAGTGGAATCAAAGTGTATTGAGAAACAAAAGACGGGCAGTGATTCAGGCTAAATTGGATTGATAATTTTGAGGCAAATGGCTAGAAATCCATAAGCCAATTCTTTTTCGTGTGTCATGGTGGTGGATTTGAATCTATCATATTTGGAGATATTTAAAATCATTTCCGTAGGTCCCTTCCACCCAAATGCAGCCCAAGTTCCTTTCATTCTGTAAAATAGTCTTGTACTCTGTTCACATGAGATGCGTTGTTGAATATACTGTTTTCCACATGTATAATCCATCAAAAGTATCAGAGAGGGTAAATCTAACTCTTATGCCCAAATATTTTAATACTCGAAACTCAATCCATATTACACAGTAAAATGTAAATTCGGTGAAAGGAAGTTAATTACTAAGGAAGAAATGTACTTAAGGCAAGTCAAGTAATACCTAGTAGTTCACTACAATTAAATCTTAGAACATCTAACAGGCAGAAAAATGGTGCCCTCAATCTTATGAACTGGTCAAAGCAACAAATATAAAAACAGAGACCTTCCATTAAATTGACAGGCTCCTCATGATAATAGCAACTCAAATCCTACAAAGAATTTTCAGGTTGAAGTTTCTCTCAAGAATTAAAAAATCATTAGTCAGATCAGAAGCTTTAGTTCATTAGATCAGAAATAAATCTGCATATTATTTAGTGCTGGATAGTATAGTTTCTTGAAATCGTAAACAATATAATTTATGGATAAAGCTTATTGTCTTGCATCAGATCAAAATCACCAAGACTTATTTCAGTAGTACAGTAGGAAGGAAACAAATCAACTAATATTTGCCATCCTAAGACAACACAGTCCATTGTCAACTTTTATAGCCTCACCAACGGCATTGGTACTTAAAACGCTTTTGGATTAACTTGAATCAAACAGGAAAAGTACAAGCAAAATTTTACGAAAAATCAAGCAGGTCGCTGTAGTCAAGGTAGTGATCTGCAGTCTTGATTAAGCCATACCAATCAAAATAGAGAAAAAAAGTGGCGTTGATAGGCAAAATCATTCAATAAAGTAATAGCAAAGGTTAATCATGGATTGCTGTAGTCAAGGTAGTGATCTGCAGTCTTGATTAAGCCATACCAATCAAAATTGAGAAAAAAAAAAAGTGGCGTTGAGAGGCAAAATCATTCAAGAAAGTAATAGCAAAGTTTAATCATGGATAACTGTCAAAGTATGCACCTTTTGTTGAATTTTACATCAAAACTGTAACATTAACTTAGGTTAATCATGGATAACTGTCAAAGTTGCATTTTTGTTGAATTTGAAAGCAAAACTGTAACATTAACTTTTATCTACATACGCAGCGACATATGACCCATATAATTAGAGAAGAATCCGCATGCCTTACCGGATCTGATCTACCATATACGAAAAAAGTAATTTTTCAGGGAAGTACATACTGATGAACAGCAGAATCTTGGCACCTCCTGCAGTATATAAGAAGTGCAGCATTCCCTTTGTCACCACAAGTCAGACATACAGGCGCCTGAAACAGTATGGATAAATAATAGGGTTTTCAAGTGTCATCTGAAAAGTGAAAACTGCTCAAAAATCGTAACAGGGGTTGGAAAAATCGTGCTTGACAGTCGTGTTAAGGCTGAAAAATCCAAATAACATTATGTGATGAGGTCCCAAAAACCTAGGAGGATGATAGCCAATTGGACAACTAACACATGCAAATATATCATAACTGAATTTCCAGGTAATAACCATAAGACTGTTATATTAAAACATTAAAAAAAAAATTATATATATATATATACACTTCAAATATAATCTGACGTTACAGTTAGTTAGCCAGTCTATTGGAACCAACATAAAAGGTAAGAACAGAAGCCACTCAAAGTTTGTACAAAAAACTAGATTTTCTCTCCTCAATGGCAACACATGAATGTAAACCAAACCCATGGGCTTACACTAAACACATACTACTAATTACAATTTGGACAAGCCACCCAAATGAAAAGGCCATTCTATGTGGAGGTCCACCACAGCTGATAACAGAGTTATATATCTCGCATTATTATCAAAAAGGAAAGAGACATGAAAAGTGACAGGAATTGTAACACCCCAAATATGTAAATTATAATTTATGACTATTATTGGTATTATTTTTGTTGTTGTTTTAGTATTATTAATAATAATATTTACGAAATTAATATTGGGTTAGTAAAGTAACTATTAACCTTTTTTTAAGTGTTTTGAGCATAATATTATCTATTCAAATTACTTTATGATACCTATAATTTACAGTCCAAGAAGAATATTTACATATTCAAAATATAAATGAAGAGTATTTTACCCATTATATTTCTGAAAGAATGATATATATAGATATAAGTTTACTATATGTGCTTAAGAAATTATAATTAATGTATCTTTTGAAATTAAATGTTATTCTTAAATTATTTAGAAAGATATATGGAATGAATTATGGTACTAGAAAACAATGAACATACACTAATTTAACCTATTTCACCAACATATACATATAAACATATTACAGCCCTTCCAGTCAATATTTTCCTACGCTAACTGACTACAGGAGCCACTCCAGCACAGAATATCAACAGGTAAATAGTACTGTTCATTTTATAAATTCAGTATGTCAATCCTATGAACAGCAAACAACTATGCAGCAGGTTCATTTTATAAATTTCACACAAATCACAAGCAAACCAAAATAAAAATTTAGCAACGATCAACCAAAAATCGTCCATCCCGAATCCACAGTTGAAAGCCCGCAATCTAGTACTGTTCATAAATTGGAGTTTGACCCTCACCCGAAAGTGCCGGCTGCCAACAGCAGCCCTCGACTGATCGACGACCGCCGCCGTTCGTCCCTGAGTCGCCGCCTGTGGAACCGTTGGTCGCCGCTCGCAAGCGGAGTCGCCGTCCTCAGAGGACATGAAACTGAAGCAACGGCGAGGCGACCCCGCGTCAGCAGCGACTCTCAGTCCAATTTTCTGGCTGGTGCTCGCAGCTTGGCGTACGAAACCCGCCTTCAATTTGGTCGACCGCACACGGGCACAACGAACAACTGTCGATGCTTGTTGCCGGAAGTAAGAGAAAGATCAAATTGGGCCAATTATTGTGTCGATTATTGGGTGGAGAATTTGAATAGAGTTTTGTAGGGAGAAAGGGGCTGGGATCTGTGAAATGCTTTTGGGAAGCGAAGAGCCGCAAGAAGTAAGACGAGAAAATGAGACCAGGATAAGTAAATGGTGTCTTTTGTCTTTTTATTGTTTCACAAGTCATTATATATTTTTAGTTTCTGTGTCTTTTTTTTTAAATTTCAATGTACCGGTAAGAGATATGCATTAATATTTATAAATTAAAAAATTTTTTATAAAGATATTTTTATTAAACATATAAAATTAGTATGTATTATAATTTACTTATATTATGTTATTGTAAATAATATATGAAATATAAATTGTACAAAATTATCCAAAACATGTATATTTAAAATTAGTGCACGATTTATGATGCATGTAACTGATAATAAATTATATTATATTATATTATATTCCTTTTAAAATAAGTATTATTTTAAATTTTTATTCAGAAATTCGATTTGACTACAATATGATTCATTGAAATAAATATTTTGGTAACATTTCATCATATATTTAAGAATCTACGTGAATAGTATAATAATAAACTTATATCATTTCATTAATTAAAATAATTTATTTTTGTATAAAATCTTCAAATCAAAAAATTTAAGTAGTTCAGTAATTTATTAAACTATAAATAATTGACTATTTCATTTACAATCTAGGTTAATATTGACCAATTTGGAACCAAATTTGGACTACACAATAAATTCTCATAGATTTGTTGTTGGTTACCTTATCGTTCACATTTATCAACTAATTTTCTAGAACTAAATTACGAATTTTAAATTTTATTAACCAATATTTGTTCAAATATCTTTATGATATTCAAGAGGAATGCATACCAATTTGCAGAATTATCATCAATATTTTATGGCAAGTTATTATGGGATATGCTAACATTTGAGAATCATACCATCTTGAATTTATATCAAATCAACTTAAAATTTGATTTTTATACTCATAGCAAATAAAATTCATACCATTTATTTTATTTTTTAAATTTTCAAATACACTTATCAATACCAAATAAAATCTATATTTTTTAAATATGCATATTTCCTACCAAAATAAAATCACTCACTTTATATCATAAAATCAGACA